AGGGGATGGTCAGGGCACTATATTCTAATATTTTTGAATTAATTTCTTATGTAGTCTCATATGTTTCTTGAATTATGTTTTGGGTTTTTAAAATTGTTTTCCTTTTTTTGGTATGTGGCTTTAATATGTAGTCATTTGCTTCTCTTTATATTCATTTTTATCGTTTGCTTTTTTCTTTTTTGAATAAGTACAACATATCATTCCAAAGTCAAAAGCCTATCTATTCAGAGTTCTTATTCTCTTGTGCCACCTTCCCACTCATTCAATAGGTACCCATTATTATTAATTTCTGGGTTATATTTCTTTTGGTTCTTTTTCAAAAATAGGCAAGTTTGTATATATTAGTTTCTTCTTTATTATGCAAATAATAGCAGAATGTAACTATCTGTAGAATTACATATGATTATTTTACACCTTGTTTTTTAAGTTAACAACATAGCCTCTATATTTTCCACTTTCTTTTGCCTCATGCTTGCTAGGCAGGTGCTCTATTACCTGAGCCACACTGTCAGCCATTTTTGTGTTAGTTATTTTTCAGTTGCCTTTTTTTTTTTTTGTCTTTTTTGTTTTGCTTTTTTTTTTTTTTCTATTTTTCTTTTCTTTTTTTTTTTTTTTTTTCGGTGCTGGGGACCAAACTCAGGGCCTTCTCTTCCACTGAGCTAAATCCCCAACCCCTAGTTATTTTTCAGATAGGGGCTTGTGTTGTTTCGTCTGGGGCTGACCTGGACTGAGATCCTCCTACCCATGGCCTCCCACATAGCTGGGACACTAGAGATGTGCCACTGTGCCCAGCTTATTTGTTGAGTTGGAGTCTCCCTAACTTTTTGCCTAGGCTGACCTTGAACCTTGACCTTTCTGACCTTGGCCTCTTGTGTAGCTGGGTTTATAGGCATGAGCCACCAAGCCTAGCACATGTTAGTTTTGTTAGCAGATGCTTGAGCAAAAGTCTTTTAGTAAGAGACAACAGCAAGTGCAAAGACATGTAGCTGGAGTGCTGAAGGAAAAGCAAGGAGGTGGTATGAAGACACAGGTCTGGAAATGATAGTGGCCTACATAGTACTTGAATTCAAATTTGAATTAGAACACTGTCTTTCATAGTCCAAATTCATTGCAGCACTTGTGAGACCAGGAATGTATTTGATCAAGGCCAGGGTTGTCAGGCTAATAGGTCAGAAGATGGAGAAGTTTACAGGACCACAGTCAGATAAGGCTTTAGAGACCAGGTGCAATGCAGAGAATGACTAGGATTAGAGTAACAGTTGAAGGAGAGCAGGGCCACATTCCTGGCTTTTGGAAGCTGCAGATAGGGCTTAGAGGTGAAAACAAATGCATGGCTTGTTTGGGAGATGATGTTAGGAATGGAATGTTTATCTGGGGAGGTGTGAGTGGGAACAGGAAAGTAAATTGGGCCTTGTTATAATGGTTCTTGGATTCCAGAGTGAAATTGTGGAGAGTCACAACAATTTTTTTTTTGGTGAGACTGAGTTTTGAACTCAGGGCTTTGTGCTGGCAAAGCAGGCACTCTACTGCTTGAACCATGCCTCCAGTCCATTTTGTTCTGGTTATTTTGGAGATGGGGTCTTGGGAATTATTTATTTGGGCTGGCCTCGAGCTAATCCTCCCAACCTCAGCCTCCCAAGTAGCTAGGATTACACATGAGAGCCACTGGTGCCCAGCAAGTTGCTACAAATTTTTGAAGCAGGACAGAGACTGGTTTATTTCTTTTTGTTTTCCATAGTCTGCAGTAGTTGTCATATTTATTCATTTAAACACTAGTTATTGGAAGCTTATGTGCCTGGCTCTAGTAGGTACATAGCTGATGCTATTTGCTCAAGGGAACTCAGAGGCAGAATTGTAATTATTCTGTACTTTGAGCTTATTTACCCCTACCTTCCCACTGTCTCCTGTTCCCTTTCTCCCCCAAATAGTTCTCTGTTTAGGTTCATGGTTTTGTTTTTTGTTTTTGCAGCACTGGGGTTTAAACTCAGGGCTTTGCACTTGCTAAGAGGTGATCTACCATTTGATCCACATCGCCAGTCCATTTTGCTGTGGTTATTTTGGAGATGGGGGGTCTCATGAACTGTTGGGCTGGCCTCCTACCTTGATCCTCCTGATCTCAGCCTCCCAAGTAGCTAGGTTATGGGTGTGAGCCACTGGTGCCAGCAGGTTCATGTCATTTCACTTGCTTGTTTGTTTGTGTTTATGGATCTTGATACCACATGCAATAGAAAATGTGGTATTTGTCTTTATGAGTTTAGCTTACTTTGCTTAACATGGTGGTCTTCAGTTCCATCTATTTTCCTGGAAATGACATCTTATTCTTTATGATTGAATAATATTCTATTGTAGTTTCCTTTTATTAATGTCTTTGGACATAACTTTATATCTGTATTTGAAAATACCCCACCCCCAAGTTAGCAGCATTAATTAAGCTTCTGATTGCTATGCAGAGAACATTATTGGTCACAAGGTGAAAAGCACCAGGGTAGGACATGACCCTTACTCCGAAGGGATTTAATTTGACAAAGGAGTACTTACTGCCTTTCTACTTTGGAAGAGTGATTTCTTCTTCTGTCTCTTGTATTTCTCATGCTGGAAGACAAATCCAGAGCTGTGCTGTTCAGTGCTTGAGCCGCATGTATCTACACAGCGCTTGCAATGTGGCTAATCTGAATTGAGATATACTGTAAGTACAGAATACACTACAAACTTTAGACTTAGTATGCAAGAAGAAGGCAAAATATCTTCATGATTTTTGAATATTGATTATAGGCCAAAATAGTACTATTTTGAATATATTGGGTTAAGTAAATATTAAAATTAATTTCACCCATTTCTTTTACCTTGTTTGCTTAACATGAAAATAGGAAATTTGAAACTGCATATGCAACTGTAGTTATATTTTTGTTGGATAGCATGGTTTAGATATGTGTTGAAATTCAGGCTAAACATTACTTCCTTTGCATCCTATGAAGAGGTATATAATCTCAATTTGCTCCATTGTTAGTGGTACTAAATTTGATAAATTTCAAAATTCTCCATGTTCATGATACATTTTGATCACTTCCAAGATATTCTACTATAAAGATAATTTTGTTAAAAGTCACTCCAGAGCTCTTATCACAGATTACTTTCTTTTTCTTTTCTTTCTTTCTTTTTTTAAAAAACACTTTCATAACTTTTACTGTGAAGATTTTGAATACTTCTGGATCTCTCCAGAGTTAAGATACATTTGTTTTTCTTTTGCAACTAAGAAATATGTGGAGTGACACTTGGGTACCTTGGAAATACTGTTCCCAATCATTTTACCTAATGGAGTTAGCACCCTTTGAAGATCCCTTCCTCATAAGTGTATAGTGGGAGCTATACAAAATGGTGATTTTCTAATGCTTTTCCTTCTTCCCTCCCTCCCTCTCTCTCTCTCCTCCTTTCTTACTTTTTTTTTTGAGACAGGGTTTCATTGTATAGTCCAGGCTGGCCTCAAACTTGCAATCCTCCTGCCTTAGCTTCTCAAGTGCTGGGATTATAGATGTGTGTCACCATGCCTGGCACTATTATTTCCTTTTCATAAATAGTTGACATTTTTCTGTAAAGAACATTTTTTTTCTTTTTTCTCTTTTTCACTTTCAAGTGAAGGAATTCGTATTGTGTCATGTAGATTAGTCACTTCATACAATAGATGTTTGATTAGGAAAGTTTGGTACAAGTAAATATTTAAAATATGGAATCATATCTTAGATGTACAGTGTTGTTCACTCTTCAAAGGAGGCTTATGTATATCTTCCTGTAAAGTTAGTAATCACCCTTAATTTTTTGTTATTCTTATATCCTGAGTTTTCACTTATAACACATCTACTCAACAAATTATTGAGCATTAGACATGGTAGTAAACACTTGGAATAGATTGATAAGCAGAACAAATATAGCTGTTGTTAATGTAGGATGTATTTTACAGTGAAGAAGTGAAGCTGCCTGTACCTGTGCGTGAAGGTAATTATGAAACTATGGGAGATCTTGATTTGGAAGGGGTTACATTCTTTTGCTAACAGCCCTTGTTAAGTAAATGCTTTGAAGTTCAGAGGCTTAATTTTTCTTTATGGGTATGATGAAAAGAATATATAGTTTAGTAAGCAGTTTCCTCCTATTGTCTTTCTAATGTGACATTGAATCACAATTTCAAATTCTACTCCCGAATATGCAATTTTGCTTAAATTTTTGTCCTCCAGGGACATTTTTTAGTGTGTGAGGTCCATCCCTTAGTAAGGGATCATACCTCTAGATATACTTTGAAGGCTTCTAAGACCCTGAGGATTCAAAGCAGTAAGGAGGCTATCACCAGCCCAGCCTGCCTTGTTCACAGAGTCCATAGAAATTCTAAATAGTCTTAGTAGTTTGGCACAACCTAGCATGGTTCAAACGTGGAGAGACCACTTTCCTTTCATGAGCTGGGTTCAAGTATGATAACCTGAGCTGAAAGACCTTTCTGTCTCTACTGTTGGGTAAGTTATGGGACTCATCTTATCTTTCTGAATGGGACCAGTAGTCCTGGAGATGAAAAGAGGTCTCTGTTTTCATCTACACAGTATGGCAGAGATCCATAACTTCCGAGTCCTCCCAGGAAAGAGCATATGATGCTTAGTGACATTTAACTAAACAGATGTTTGCTAGAGGTATCTCTTGAAGCAAAGGGATTTTTTTTTCACCAGATAAAAAGTCTTTTAAATTTTTTTATTTATTATTATTTTTTTACTTACAATGTATCTTCTGCAGTATCTCCCTTCAGATTAGTAAAACAGACATGCCCTCTGTTAGGTGTGTCCCCGGCTTTAAAGAGATATGCTATCTGTCAGTTACACTGCTATGACCTCGGGTTCCAGAATATCAGGACAACATTCTTTCAAAGAGATGTTTCACTTTGGATTGAAGCTGCGTTTAGAATCAGTTATCTCATTGCCAAAGGGAAAAGGATAGCTAAAGTTGACAAGCAGACACTTGTTATTATGAATTTATTTGGACGTTACTTCTCCAAGTGTTCCGATGATGTTTCCTTACTCAACATACACTCACCTTTGCTCTTTTCACTCATATCATCTGAAGATGAACAACATTTTATTCCTAACTTGAGGTAGGAAATAGGATCGATTTTTCCCAGCTTTTGTTCTTTAGTTGGAATTTCCCCCTTCTTTGATCCGAGGAAGAAGAAAATACCTCCAATCTCTTCTCATAAGGAGCCGGGGAAAGGAAAAGTGGACTTGGGAAGAAAGTCATTGCTATCCTTTTCCATGAGTACTTGGAAAGCAGGCTACTGATTAGTTCCTTCTGGCTTTGGTTAGCTGGGAAAAGAGAAGGACTGGCTTGGGTGAAAGAATGTCTCTTCATTCTTAACTGAAATTTTTGAACCCTGACCAAGTGAAGCTTTACTTCTGGTGACTGCTAGTAATTTTTCTACCCATCTGAAAGAAAAATCCAAGGGTTCAGGAATTTGAAATAATCAAGGAAGCTTGAGTGAAAGGCAAATGAATTCTTTACACTCAAGTTCAAGAAGAGAGTGACATGAACCCGACTCCTAGCCTGAAGTAGTAGGCATATGGGGACATTTGGCGGGGAAAGTGCGTTGCTGCTAGAAGAGGAGGCTAAAATAGAGTGACCTCAAAAAGGGAGGGTGTGTGTCTTACCCTTTTGACATTTTCAAACTTTGCCTAAAGTCAGTCTCCTGCATTCCACCAGTCATTTTTCCTTTACTCCTGATGAACAGTTCCTACCCCTTTTGCCTGGAACTGTCTTGTTTTTGGCACTGAAAATTCCCTATCTTAGTAAAGGCCTTATCCTAGGAAAACTGGGATAGTAGATCACCCTGACTAAATTTTAAGGCATTTGAGTAGCCTGTTTGACAACTGAAAAACTGGCCCAGATCTCCTGTCTCTTTGTTTCTCAGAAAACTTATATAGAATGCACTAGGGTATATGCCAGATCCTGAAGTTACAATAATAACAATAGCTGCTCCAGATTGCCTGCCTACATGTGCTAAGTATGTGATCTTGCTTAATACTCATGGCAAACGAAAAGCTAGCGTATTTTAAATCCAGTTTTATGGAGGAGGAAACCAGAGCTGAGGGCTCTGGGCTGTCTTTCCCAAGGCCAAACAACTGGAATTTATCTGAGCCACATTTGAACTAAAGTGTACCTGAGTCTGAAATTTGTGCTTTTTCCATTAAATAAGAAACTTGTTGAATTTGATGATAAATGGAAGCTTCTCTGATTTAGCATAGTTCTGTGGTCATTAGTTGTACCAACTCATTCCTGCTCTTCATGGTGGCATAAGATTCCCTGGGATAATATGCAGAAAATGCTATCCAGGAAGCTTCACTAGCTCCTTTAGTCTGCTACCTGTAGCAACCCCTGGATAATCCTTTGATTCTTAACAGGACTACTTTAAGTGCTCAGTGAAGGGTAGATACGGTTGCTATTTTAATCACGACAAGTGAGCAATAATCTTGAACTGAAATGTCTTAGCTAATGTATATAAATTCAAACATTTTGATATAATATTTAAGGTATTAAGGAAAGAAATAATATATTTCTCCTTGGGTTCAAAATTAGATATGTTGCACGCATATGCACATGTACACACACAAACATGCAATCACCCATTTTTTTCACCATCAAGAAAAAGCTATCCTTTTGGTTATTTGATTTGAAATAGATAGAAGGCAGGGTTCCTTGCTGTGATAAAAGTTGTTATGCACATACTGTTAAAAGAGAAGCAAAAAATTCTATTCTAGGGCTGCAAGCTGTAAATGGTTCATTTTAGGGGAAAAAAATCTAATCCAGGAGCTCAGCCCTAAGAAATCCATTTACTAAAATCAGAGATGATTGAAACTCTTAACATAATGATGGAAGCCCTAACTGGTGGGCATCACACTGAGAAGGAAATGCCTTGAATTTTGTGGAGGGATGTGGAAAACTTTTAGTCTACCCTCTGCTTTTATTTCATTTATTCACACCTGTGAGTTGTACCTTTACTACAGAATGAAACACAGTTCAAGTCACAGAATTGAGATTAGAGAGCTAAATCTGAGGAGGACTCACAGACAACAGCAGAGACATGAGAATCTATTTGAGCCAATCAACAAATATTTGTCATACACCCACCCAGTTTCAAGGTAGTGTGCTGGATACTGGGCATATAGGTAGGACTGGCATGTGCCCCCTGGCCACTAGAAGCTCACTTGAAGGTAGAGGAAAGAGTTTCAAATATTTCAGATATTCACAGGTGGCTTTGTTGGATTGGATTGCCACAACAAATGACTGGGTGGAATAAATAAGAGAAATTAATATTCTCACATTCTATAGACTGGAAGTCTGAATTCAGGGTGCCAGCGTAACTGGGTCCTGGCTCTTAGTGTTCACATGGCCTTTTCTCTGTATGTGCATGAGGAGAGAGAGTTTTCTCCACATGGTCACTAGTTCTGTCTAACCAGGACCCCCACCCCTCCGACCTCATTTAGCTTTACTTCTTAAAAGCCCTACCTCCAGATAGAGCCACATTGGAGACTAGGGCTTCATCATATAAATTTTGGCTGGTGGAGTGGCTCAAGCAGTAAAAGCAGCTGCTTAGCAAGCATGAGGCCCTGAGTTCAAACCCTCATGCAGCAAAAATAAAAAAAGAATATGAATTTTGGTGAACACAAGGCAGTCTACAGAAATAGGCCCAAAGTCACATCATAACAAACATTAAAATGAAATTCTCTATCTCTTTCCCTCCCTTCTTCCTCTCTCTCATATAAATATAATTATATTATGAACAACAAATGAAAGGGTTTTTAAATTTTGCTTGGGAAATTATTTGACTATGAGTAGTTAATTTAATTAATGACTGGTTACTGCTCAGCAACCATACATACTTGGGAATTTTTGCAGAACAAGAGAACTTCTGAATTGTTGTCAAATGTAATATAATAGCTGTGAGTCCTAAATTTGTCAGTTCATGAAATTAACATAATACTATTTTTTGTGTTTAACTGAGGATTAATTTATGTGTTGCCCTTTTATTTTTGGACCCAATAGTTTTTTTCAAGTCTCAAACACTTCTATAGGCTCTTAAAAAGCTTATTAGACCTTAGATACTGTCTATGATGCCTGATGGGTAAAAGGGCTGGGATGTTTCATAGATCCATTACACAATTCTTGATAGGTCACGCCAATGCCAGCTTCTCTTCCAAGCTCTGATCCAGCATTTCCAGCTCTTTGTTAGGTATCTGTTTGGTGTCTCACTGACACTTTAGATGTGTTCCAAGAATCTTCTTCCCTTCCAACTTACCTTTTATTCTATTTTATTTGCCATCTCTATTACATCTATACCACCACAGAGCTGGTGGAAGACTTGGAAGTTATTGCTGTTTGTGATCTCAAAGTCCACTGACATCAGGATGCAGAATGACTATTAAGAATTACATGGAGCTGGGTGTGGTGGCTCAAGCCTATAATCCTAGCTACTTGGGAGGTGAAGATTGGAAAGATTGCAGTTTGAGACTGGTCCAGGCAAAATGTTTGTGAAAATCCATGTCAACCATTGGGTTGGGTATGATGGTGTGTGCCAGTCATCCCAGCTATGCAGAGAAGCACAAATAGGAGGATCACTGTCGAGGCTGGCCTGGGCATAAAGCAAGATCCTATCTCAAAAATAACCAAAAAAGAAAAAAAAAAGCTGGCAGAGTAGTTGAAGAGGTAGAGCACTTGCCTCACAAGTGTGAGGCCCTTAGTTCAACCCCCAGTACTGCCAAAAAAAAAGAATTACCTGAGAACTTTGGTATGATACTGACTTCTGAACCTTTTCCTTGAAGACCTGTGCAGTTGTTCTGGTGTACACTCAGGGATTTGTTTCAAGCTAGTGTGCCATGTTTGGGATGGTGTGGACTTGGACAGTATTGGTGGGATGAAAAGAGACGTGGCTCTTAAGGACAGTGGAACCCATGTTTTTGATACCATGAAATCCTGCTGGCTTTATTACCCAGTCAGAGTTTCTCAAAGGGCTCCACAGCTGTTTCCAAGATACCCTCAAGGTGATACCTAACTGTGGTTAGAAATGTTCCTCTTTGGCCTCCTGGCCATTCAGCTTGGTGACTTACTGCAATAATGGTTACAGGAAGAAATGATGCCATCTCTTGCTCATTTTGTCTCAAAGAAGCAAGGCAACTTCCTTCTTTAGTAGCACATCAGAAATGAGGTATAAACTGAGTGAGGTTTGCCAAAAGAAAAGCAGAATAACGATCACACTGTACAGGGACAGACTCATTCTAGGACCCCATACTGCACTGTTGACCCACCCATTCAATGAGGTAGCTGCAGCTTACCTTTCACTATGGAAGTAACTCCAACCATTTCCATGGTTCTTCCTCATCTCACCCTTGAAGCCCAACTCCTCCTAGGCCTTCATTTCCTAATTCAGAATGATAGACAGTGGGAATATTCATTCCTCTTAGGGAAAAATCAGCCCAAAGTTATAGTTTGTGGGCTTACCAGGATAAACCATGTAACAGTCTGATACTAAGACATTCTAAATTGGCATTATTCACTTAAATGGGAGTGCATGTTAACTTCAGTAGCCCACTCCAGGGCTCTCAGTCTAGCGCCTTCTTGGTTTCTCTTCAACAAAGGTTCAAAACTTTTCAGGTGCAGCTCACTTCGAGTCATCTTGTTGTCACTCCCTTTACTATGCCTCTCTGGCCATAATAAACTAGTTATATGTCCTTTAATTGATACAATAACCCCATGATATAATTTTTTCAACTGAACCAACAGAAAGCAGACAGCTTAAGACACTTAATCAAGGCCAACTCACCAGGAAGTGAGATGCTGTGATGTGATCTGGTCTGAGGCCTCTCAGTTTCAAGTTTGTGAATTTAACTATTATGTTTCTTTTGTGTGTGTGTGCGTTGGGGGGGGGTAAGTGGAGTTTGAACTCAGGGCCTCTTGCTTACTAGGTAGATGCTTTACCAATTAAACCATGCCCACAGAAAATTTAACTATTATGAAATACTGGGAAACACTCAGGAAATAGATCAGACATTAAATTTGAAATAATAGTGCCATTAAAAGACATGGGGCAAAAAGTCAGAGAAGGTGTGAAGGAGGAGGGAGGGAGATGGAGAAGTCAACCTGGTGAATGAATTATTAGCCCCTTGGCACTATTGGGCTCCTATCTCCTCTTTATCGCTCTGTCTTGCTTAGTGATTATCCCTCTGAAGCATTTTTATTTCCAAGTTAATTATCATCTTTGACTCTCCAGGAGCCATGTACCAGCCCGTGCTGTGGTGAAGCAGCCTGTCCGTGGAGCTTGTGGCAAGACCACAGTCACAGCGATTGTTCAGACTGGTGGGGACTGGAGCACCGGCCTCTTCAGTGTCTGCAGAGACAGGAGAATTTGTACGTTTTTCCTCTTCACTTAAGTTTCTCACTATTTTATTTCCCAAGACATCAGTAAGCGAAAAAGCTACATCAGACACAAGGACAGAAATGAAATGGTTTCAAAATAACTGGAATAATCGTCTAGTAACTCAAATGCACTCCTAGCTGGAAAAAAATCTTGCTTTTTAGTAATAAAGATTCTTTCATAGAATAAGTGATGCCTTCAAAGATTTTTTTTTAAATGACAAAACCCACTGCTGGCAAAGACACACAAAATGGGCTCTCTTATTCACTGGAGGTGAGAGTGTAAATTGCTACAGTTTGGTGGATGGCTTAGCAATACATACAGAAAGAACTTCAAGTGTTAAGTAGGTTTTGACCTAGTAATTATATTTTTAGGAATTTAGTTTAAGGAAATAAATCATGTACAAAGACTTATCAGAAACCTTACACTTTGCAGCATTTGTTATCACAACAAAGATGAGGAAAAACCTTAATGTTCAACAGAGGACCCCCACCCAATGAATTATTGAACATTACATTAAATTATTGTACATAACATTTAATGAATGAAAAGGTCTTTTGGATACATTTTTGGGTTAAAGAAGCAGATTAGAAAACTATGTACATTAGATACCATTTTTGGGGTGTGTGCAAACATTTAGATAAAAGTATGGAAGGACACAAAGACATGTTTATAGAAGATTTGCCAGTTGGGAGGCTAATGAATAATTTTTCTTTTCTTTTTTATTATCTTTTCAATACTTCTATGAAGAATCTGTAGTACTATTATAACAATAAGAATGATCACAAAAAGAGTTTCCCTTTGTTAATTGAAATCTTTTCAGGCACTGGTTCAGTTATAAAGAGCTACAAACAACACTGTCCTCTAGCTGAATGTGTTTCCCCTGGGTTTGGAATGGAAGCATATTGATTCAATTTTTTACCTTAGGACATTCCAATCCATCTCTGGTACCACATGTCAGAATCACCCAGAACCTGATGCTCTTTCCCTAGGAGGCAATTGGGTCACAGAATCTCTCTTGGAGGAAGAAGGTGATATTGTCTGATGGATGAGGGTCAGCCTCATAAATTCAAATCCAAAAGACCCTGAGTCCAGTATTTATGAAGAATATGGTTTTCCCCATCCTGTAGAAGTGTCTGGGGAGATCTGAATTTATCCTAAAGTATCACAGGATGGATCATTAAGAGAACTCTGAGCATGTCTTCATTCAGCAGTCTTTCTTGTGCGTCAGTACTATATGGGTGCTTTCTTGCCACTGCTATCCATATGGATTTCTGACAGAAATCAATTATGGCAGTTGTTCTCTGGTTCTTCAGGATTGCTCCTGTTTCTCTGCTGTTTCCATGACTTTGGTTGCAATTCAGTGCTGAGGTACGTAGAGGGTAGAGTAGCGATGCAGAGATGTGGAGATCTAGTCCTAAATTAGTAAGTGGACTATTTTCTTTTTATAGTGTATGGTTGGGAGTTAGGGGAACATCAGTGCACTTCCAACTGTGGCAAATCCTAGAATGTTATGTCATTCATTAAGAGAACAGGTTTGAATCAGATATAGACCTACCTTGAATCCTCACTCTGCCTCTTACTTGCTGTATAACCTTGAGCAATTTCTTTGGGTCTTTATTTTTCCCCTTCTAAAATGAAGATGATAGAGCTCTAACTTCAAGCGTTGTTGTCAGGAATAAAGTAGATAATGTATAGGACCTACTCTTAACACTAGTTTGCAGAATTAGTGGACCAATTAGGTATTTTGGTTGCAAGCTAGGTTGGATAGTGTTTCCTTAAAAATTTATGTCCACTTGAAAACCTTGGAATGTGACTTTATTTGGAAATAGGGTATTTAGTCAAAGTAGGCAGGAAACACATTCTCCCTCAGACCCCCAAAAGGAACCAGCTTTGCAGCACCTTGATTTTAGACTTCTAGCCTCCAGAATTCTCCATTGAGAGAATAATTTCTATTGTTTTAAGATGCTTGGCTTATTATGGCAGGCCCAGGAAACTAACACACAAGCAGATGTTAGATTTTATTAGAAGGTTCTGTGGTAGGTCATAGAATCAAAAAAATCAGCTAAAAACCCAAGCCCAGAAAGGACTGAATGCATTATTATTAGGAGCTATCTGACAGTCTAGTCAACACCAAATGTTTTTATTCTTGCCTCATCCTGCCTGAGAATTGATGTTTTAGCAGAAGCAGCCCAATTTGCCTAGCTTAGGTCACATGTCATATGCCTACTGCTTGGCAAGGCCTGGTCACTCTGAATGACAGGCCTAACAATATTGCTCATAATAATAATAATGAAGGGATAATTTCCTAAATTTATTATTGGGGTTACCAGGAACATTCCAACAAATATTAATAGAATGCACTTAGTGAATCTTAGCTGATAAATGATTGTTATTGCTTATTTTAAAATTATCCTTTAGCAAGCTAAGAACAAAGAATAGAGGCAAGACACAGACTGGATGCTGCAGAGTCATTTCTACCTAATCCTAAGAGCACCTAAAAAGCTGGTCAACAAAAGCTCACTCCCCTAGCATCCTCTTTGCCTTAAATGCTGTGTTATATCTCAACTCCTCCCTAACCCCCTCAATACTCAAGACATTAACTATATTGAGTCCCTGTGGTTCTTTCATTATCCATTTGAGAGCCTCTTCTAGTGACAAAATGAGAAGGAAGGATATGTGGAGAAATGCAATATTCTTTGCAATTGGGCATGAATCATGAAGGAGAGACCATGGTGATGTCAAATGCTATGTTCTAACAGTTCTTTAAATGGGTCTCCATTTGTGGCTGCTCATAGTTGTCTGTAAGTTTATGGTCCTGGAAGAAAATTTAAAGACAATATACTTTTGTGCTTTCATTACCTGTGCTGTAATTCTGAGGATGCAGCTGGAATATGAGTGCTATGATCTTGGGCTGCTTCTCTTCATTTTTAAAAAGGACTTTTAGTTGTGAATTGCTTTGTCCACAGAATTTCATTTTATATTAATCACTGTGCAAATAGTTGTGACAGACTTGGGAACAAGAAGATAGCTTCTTACCATGACTTGTTCCATGTCAGACTTCTATCCTGGGATATTTTTCCATCAAATGCTGAGAATTTTGCTAGTTTGTCATCCATTAGGTAAAGGATACATTATAAACAATGATGATCTCAACTTTTATTTGACATTTTGCATTTTCATTGTAATAATATTTTCTAAACTGCTTCCTTCTTCCCACCTCTGTGCTTTTATCCAAATTCACACTGCCATGGGACTGGAAATGGATATCTCTGGGTCCTTTGAAGAAAGAGTAGCTAAGAGCAAATGTGAACATGAAGCCAAGGTAAAATAAGTGTCTGCTAAATGACGTCGTGACTAAAAGACTTGGGTGGCCGAGCTTTGGAACAATCTGGGATGTCTCAAAGATGTAACAACATTGGCTTATAATTCAACCAAGATTTACGAAGTTTCTACTTATGTATAAGCGCATGATTTTTGTTACAGGCATAATAGTGGATGTGACAGAGATGCTTTCTTAGGAGAAACAGATAATAACCAAAACAATGATCATATTATCATAAATGCCATGAAGGAAAGACACAGGGTGTTATACAGAGAAACTAAAGAGGATGGGATACAAGATGGTCTCTCCAAGGACTTGACTTAAAACTCTTTCCTGAAAGATGTGGAAGAGCCAGCCACTCAAACAACTTCCCCTATAGAGCATTATAAGCGCCAGGTAGAAAAGACTGGCGTGTTCTAGAAACCATGAGATGTCAAAGTTTGGTGGAAAGAGAACCAAGATTTTCTTTGGTTTTCAGGAAGAGGAAGGAGGCATGAAAAAGCATCAGATTGGGATTTGTGTTCATATACTGTACTTTGGTAAACTGTAGACTCTCTGAAAGCAGGAGCCACAGTTGTCTTGCTCATAGCTATGATGCCCAGCAGAGCATCTGACCCATAGGAGGCACTTAAACATATTTCCTGAATGACACAAAAGTAAATGAATAAATTGTAGCTCATTCTTTCTTGTACTTGATTGAGAGAATCATACAGCTTTAGAGTTAGAAGGATTTGGAGGTCAGCTGATTTGTGCCATCATCTATTTGCCTAAATCTCCTGTGCAAAATATTTGGCAATAACTGGACAATTTCAGCTATCTGAACACTTCCGGGGAGGAGGGGTGCCTTTGCAGTTGGGGGCATGGCTCAAGTGGAAGAGCACCTTGCCCAGCAAGTGTGAGACCCTGAGTTCAAACCCTAATACTGCTCTCCCCAAAATACAAGCAATCATTTTGAATAAGTTATAATGCAGAATTTAAAAAAAAAATCTATCCTTTTGGTATTTGAAAAGTTAGTATTCCATCTGTTTTCAGTCAACCGAGTTTTTTTCCCCAGAGGCAACTATTCTTTTTTTTTCTTTTATTATTCATATGTGCATACAAGGCTTGGTTCATTTCTCCCCCCTGCCCCCACCCCCTCCCTTACCACCCACTCCACCCCCTCCCTCTCCCCCCCACCCCCTCAATGCCCAGCAGAAACTATTTTGCCCTTATTTCTAATTTTGTTGTAGAGAGAGTATAAGCAATAACAGGAAGGGACAAGGGTTTTTGCTGGTTGAGATAAGGATAGCTATACAGGGAGTTGACTCACATTGATTTCCTGTGCGTGGGTGTTACCTTCTAGGTTAATTCTTTTTGATCTAACCTTTTCTCTAGTTCCTGTTCCCCTTTTCCTATTGGCCTCAGTTGCATTTAAGGTATCTGCTTTAGTTTTTCTGCGTTAAGGGCAACAAATGCTAGCTAATTTTTTAGGTGTCTTACCTATCCTCACCCCTCCCTTGTGTGCTCTCGCTTTTATCATGTGCTCATAGTCTAATCCCATTGTTGTGTTTGCCCTTGATCTAATGTCCACATATGAGGGAGAACATAGGATTTTTGGTCTTTTGGGCCAGGCTAATCTCACTCAGAATGATGTTCTCCAATTCCATCCATTTACCAGCGAATGATAACATTTCGTTCTTCTTCATGGCTGCATAAAATTCCATTGTGTATAGATACCACATTTTCTTAATCCATTCATCAGTGCTGGGGCATCTTGGCTGTTTCCATAACTTGGCTATTGTGAATAGTGCCGCAATAAACATGGATGTGCAGGTGCCTCTGGAGTAACAGTCTTTTGGGTATATCCCCAAGAGTGGTATTGCTGGATCAAATGGTAGATCGATGTCCAGCTTTTTAAGTAGCCTCCAATTTTTTTCCAGAGTGGTAGTCTACATCCCCACCAACAGTGTAAGAGGGTTCCTTTTTCCCTGCATCCTCGCCAACACCTGTTGTTGGTGGTGATGGCTATTCTAACAGGGGTGAGGTGGAATCTTAGCATGGTTTTAATTTGCATTTCCTTTATTGCTAGAGATGGTGAGCATTTTTTCATGTGTTTTTTGGCCATTTGAATTTCTTCTTTTGAGAAAGTTCTGTTTAGTTCACTTGCCCATTTCTTTATTGGTTCATTAGTTTTGGGAGAATTTAGTTTTTTAAGTTCCCTGTATATTCTGGTTATCAGTCCTTTGTCTGATGTGTAGCTGGCAAATATTTTCTCCCACT